CTCTCATAACTGCTAAGTAGTTCTAATTCATGTCTAGATTATACGGAAGAATAAGGAACCTTTATTCTTCCGCAAATATATCCATAGGATTAGATCCATGGGCACTAAGTCAGACGGCCTCGACGGCTGGGATCTTGGTTAGCTATTCAATTATTCTTGAAATTGGCTGCAAAAATTTGCTGATAACTTCAGCGTTCAGAGGCGGTGCATCGTCTTGCTGGAAAAATATGTTTTCGAGTTCCATTAAGGGCATATCATCAATAAGGGGTCCAAAGCCTACTAGTTAAAAGTGGCGAGCCTTTAAAAATTCTGTATTTCGAAGGGGATTATAACAAAATATCAAGTGTGCTATATTTTTGGAAAGGTAATTTTAAATTCTTTTCAGTTAATTAAAAATATAGAGGGTGTTCCAAATAAAAAATCAATTTTTCTGTTGATAACCCTTAAATTATTAATTTTAAAGAAATTATACTTAAACCATTAAATTCTACGTAAAAAGGTGCTTTGGAAATGTTTTTATAGAAATACAAAATTTTTCATAGCAAAAAAGTTACAGCGATTTGTTAAAAACGCACATTTTTGAAAAACACCCCGTAACTCCGAAACGGTAACAGATATTGATGTGCGGTTTTCACCATCATGTTTTTGATGAAAATTGAGCTCCAGACACCGATATTAGTTTTCGTCTATCTCCTATAGAAAAGGGTGTTTCCATTTAAAAGCGTCGAATTTGACCCAGCCTGTACAGGGTGTTCCATTTTCGTGTGTTTTATGAGGTTTCTCGTTTATGAGTAAAAATAGAAAGATGCGGTTTCCACATCACTCTGCTACTTTTTTATGAAATTAAAGATGCTACACGTAGATTTGTCTTAACCTTCATAGTTCCTGAAATACAGGGCGATTTTTTGAATCCCCTTTGACCCTTAATCTCGGTTATCTTATAACTTATCGAAAAGGTGACAACTGTGTCCCGTAGAATGCATATTTGAAATCATACGGTATCTCCGTTATTAGTCAAGATAGAAGGGTGTGGTTTGCACAAACCTGTCCCACTTTTTTGCCAAACGGAAGATGCCGTAAACAAAATTTTCATAACCCTCTTCGTTTCCGAGCTACAGGATCTTTTTGAAAATTTTGCAATTTGGGACACCTCCTGTATCTCTGTTATTGTTAAAAGTATATCGAGAGGGTAAAAACTCTTTATTGTAGAACTTTTTACGTAGAATACAGTGGCGTAGTCTGTTATTCTACGAAAAGAATGTTTTTAAAGATATGAACTAATGTTATGTTTTCTTAAATGGAACAACCTGTATACCTATGTATAAATTATATAATCTGGCTTGTCATAAATTTCTAAAAAATATATATCACTCTATATTTATTTTCACTATTTACTGTAATATTTAAAAGAAATATATTAAAAGATCATATTTATTAGTAGGCCATAATTGATAATATAAGAAACTAAAGAATTTGACGTTTTGCTGCCTCTTGATTTACTTGATTACAAATTGATTCACAATGAGATTACTTCTTGATTTACTTACTGCCTCTTGATTTATTTTAGGAGCCACTAATAAATTCTTTATATATTAGGGAAACTTAAATCTCTACCGCTATTTGTAAATCTTGGAAGCTAACCTACTGAAACTTTTAGATATTCCTTTAGCTAATTTACGTGATACGTGAAATATGATGGGACTCCCCTTCACAACTTTAAAGATATTAGAATTTTGTTAAATTATTATTTCTCAAATCAATGAATTTGAACCAATGGACCCATATGATTCCCTGATGCCTCCCTGATTCCCGGATTTGTCATTTCTCGTTTTTGGGGATTTTTGAAATATGAAATATATCGTGGCAACTACAACAATGTCGAACACCTGGAAAATGCTTTAATAATGCAAAAAATTTAGATATTTACAAACCCATCACGTTATAATAAATTCCGTTATAAAGGAGGAAAAATATATTCAGAGATAGTAGTAACAGTTCAAAAGTAAAATATGTCAATCACGAATAAAATTTTAATATTTGTATGAATATTTTAGCAAATACAATTTTGATTTTTTTGTTATTTATCACGGCCCACTAATAAGAAAATAATATATTTTAAATATTGCAGTAAATAGTGAAAATAAATATAGAGTGATATATATTTTTGAGAGGCTCATAGCAAGACGGGTCATATATGATTTATAAATATACAGCGTGTTCCATTTGAAAAAACATAACTTTAGTCCATATTTTCCAAAATATTTTTTTCGTAGAAAAACACACTACGCCACTGTATTCTACGTAAAAAGCTCTACAAGAATCAGTTTTCACCTTCTCGATATTCATGCACAATAACGGAGATACGCGGGCTGTCCCATATTGCAAAATTTTCGAAAAGATCCTGTACCTCAGAAACAGACTTCCGTATGATTCAGATACCGTATGATTTCAACCAAAATGAGACACCCTGTACAAAAAAGTTTTTTATTATTTTCATATAGCATTTCAATTAAGTAAAATCAAATTAAAAAAGTTGATTTGTTTTAGTGCAACCTGTTTTATGATGCTATCGATTATCAGTTTAAACGATACCTATTATTCACCTATTTATCGTTTTATGGCAAAACTATTCGCGGTTTCTGTTCGAAGAAGGCGATAATTCCTGCGACGGCTCGTTGCGTCGCGTCGCACCGTGAGCCTGTGTGAGTGTGGAGATATGTGTCGGTTCACGTGACGTAGTCGGTGGTTTCGAGGGCCCATCGCGTCGGAATTTTTTCCATTTTGTTATCGCTGAAACGGCGACTGTGTGCCGTGTGTGTGTGATATTGACGACGTACGGCACAGGGGCCTTGGCATATAATGACTGGTCGTTTTTTTCTCGCTCCGTTACGAAATAAATAGGCAGTATTTAATAACTTGCGGGCGAGACAAAAATAATACGTTTTTAATGCTTTGATATATTATTTTGACTTATGGAATGACAAAAAAGTGTTGTAAAGTCATTAAAACTGGTTAAATATGACCAAGTTTATTTTTTTTGCTCAGCAGTGTAAGACCATACCACAGATCTGCACAGATTTATCAGTAAGGATGCATTGAGTCCCTTTAAAGATCCTAAAATACTTACTGAACATCAATTTGGATTTCTAAGCAACAAGTCCACAAATGACGCTTTGTTTTCCCTCCTTAATAAAGTTTACTCCAACCTAAATAACCATCATTCTACAGCAACAATTTTCTGTGATTTTTCTAAGGCGTTCGACTGTATAAATCCTAAGATCCTAATTAATAAACTGCAGCACTATGGGTTCAGGGGAACATCTCTCGAATGGTTTAATTCGTATCTGAGCAACAGAAGTCAACTTGTGAGGGTGGATACCATGTTGTGTTCTAGCAAGCCAATAGAATGTGGAGTACCTCAAGGCTCAGTACTAGGCCCTATTTTGTTTCTTTTTTTATTAACGACATTGCTAACATAAACATTACTTTCTGCGGACGACACATTCTTCACTTGGAGCAACAAGGACGTCACGGCACTTCATAAGATGACTTAATCACCATTAAATCTTGGTGCGATTCGAACATCCTGAGTCTCAACATTTCTAAAACTAAAGCTTTGTCGTATAAAAACTCGCTGCAGCCTTTTGTACTTAAGAACACCACCATTGACGTCGTAAAATCTGTAAAATTCTTAGGGCTTGTTGTAGACAATTCTCTAAAATGGGACATGCATATCGACGCTTTCTCGAAAAAATTAAGCTCTGCCTGTTTTGCATTAAGATCTGTTCCTAAGGAGCTTAACTTGGCAGTGGCTAGAACTGTTTATTATGCACTTTTTGAGTCGCACCTCAGATATGCCCTTCCATTCTGGGGTACGTGTAGTGCGACTCAATTTGACTGCATTTTCAAGCTCCAGAAGAGCTGTTCGATAAAGAGCTGTTCGATATTCACTGGGACTAAACAGCAGAGCTCATTGCCAGGACTTTTTTAAAAAATTAAAAATATTAACTCTTCCTTCCTTATTTATATTTGAATCCGTTTGCCTAATACGAAAGCATGTATCAGCTTCTCAAGAAAGGCCATCTCACACTTATCCACTCAGGAACGCGGAGCAAGATCTTTATCTACCTACCCCACGTTCAGAGTTTATATGTTATGAGTCTATAGTTTATGCTTATTTAGCCTGGAGTAAACTTTATTAAGGAGGGAAAACATCATCAGCGTCATTTTTTGTGGACTGTATATGATGAGTTATAACTTTAGAAAAGGGGACACAATATATCTATAACATCGCGGTGATTAACTTCTTCTTTCCCATACAGTCTACAATTTACAAACCATCAATTTTGTTTGCAAAAAAATCCCTTGAAACTAAATACTTAAAATATTATGCATCCAGTGGGGTAGAGAGATTTTTATCGATTTAAGAAGGGCACTCCACCAATTCAACAGGTTTTGTCCTCTTAATCCTATAGAGCATATCTATAGAATGTATGACCAACTATGTTTTATCACACATGATTTAAGCAACATTTACACACTTAAGAATTATCACACAGAACTTAACTTGATCAACCAAAAATGGCTGCGAACGAGGTTGTTCAAGCAGGCGTAGCAGCTATTTGCGAATTATTAAACAAAAAAAAATAGAGACGTTTAATCAAAATCTCGCAGATATTTCTAGAAAACGGTTTTGTGTCAGGAACTGGATTCAAAATAAACTAGGTGTTTCAAGAATCCTGCTCATGGAACTGCTCAAGAACAAATCTTATACATTCTCCATTTCTTTTAAGATGTTGACCAAAGCATTGTTTCGAGCATCCCTGTTTGGATAACTTTAGATTAACATCGATATAATCTCAAGATTTTAAGATTGCTATATTTTTTAATTTGGTATATTAATGTTTTCAACTATGAGACACAGAGTACCCACCCTTTCGCTTGATCTACGCCCAGAATACGCGTACTTATCGTGGCATTTATCACATCGACACACTTACATCACCTCGAAACTAGCTAAAACGGCCCCAGCGCAGCTCCGTTGTCGAAACTTCTCCTTGAACAGCCTCGTCCCTGCTCCCCTCGCTCCTCCGCCATTGGAAAACAATTGCCTACGGCCCCAATGGACACGGGCCCGCTATTTAGCTGCTCTTACGACGTAAAAACGCCAAGATAAGCGTGTCGGGTGCGAGTCATCATCGCGCTGAGCAGGCCTTGATTTATTCGCTCCCGCTAATAAGTCGCTTTCGCGCAGTCGAGATTGTACGATCTCGGTCCAGTCAGTTTGTTTATGTTGTCGTTTCACTTGTGCTAATGGTGGGTTTAAACGGTTCTCTTTCTGGTGCACCTGACTGACACACCGCGCGGTCAGGTCGGAAGGGTTTTTAGCGATTCAAGTCCAAAATGCCCAAAAATTGAAGGGAGTTGTAGAAAAGTAATAATGATATATCGGTTTAGAACGTCTTGTGACGGTTGTCCGATGCTTAATTTCCACGTCATTCGGTCATTCCATTATCCCGCACTTGGATTTCTGGCACTCATTGTTTTTATCATCCCTCCCTCAAAGTCTTCTTGGGTCTTCATGCTTTCTCCGATTTTGAGGTAACTTGTTACTCTGGAAGCTTGCTTTACATAGCTTGTTTTGGAAGTCTGTTCATATCATCCATTCTCTACACATGTCCGTTGTTTCCGTTCGATGTCGGTTGCAAAGATTTATAAATCTGACATAAAAATATAAGGGTTCAACTTAGTTTTAGTATTTACTATCGACTTGCATCAACAAAACACAGAGAGAAGCTTTAGTAACAATGAAAATATACCACGACTTACTAGAATTATACACAAGCAAAGAAATCAGACAAAGAGATACAAACCAATATCCTCAAAGCTGTTGATTGCAACTTTTGACAATTTTCAACAAATCTGATTGAATCAAGAAAGGTCTAAAGATAGACGGGGAATATTTGAATCATCTAAGATCTGCTGATGATATTATCATAGTTTAAGGAAAAGAGTAGTTGCACTCTCGCAAATATTTTCTGCCAGTTTTTGCAAGCTGACAGGTTGCAAAGCGTTTCAGTTGAATTCGGTCCGTCGAGCTGTGAGGTTCGAGCGTTGCGTCCGAGCACAGGGACGGATTGACAAAAAATGAGTGCCTTACTGTGCGCTGCTATTAATTGTGGAAATAATTCAAAAATTGTTCTTTGAGTCTTTTTAGATTTCCATCGGATGTAAATCGGCAAGCTGATAGTAATTATCAATTAACATTTAATTATATTTGTTTATTTTAGAAGCTGAGATATTATGTAATTAATTAAATGTTATTATTTTTTTTAGCATATGTGCAGATTTTAAAAATAGTTTTTTAGATATACAGGTTGTCTCAAATATGCACATGAAAATATTTTTTGGTCAGGGGATTTTCCATAAAATTTTCATTTCAATAATAATTTACGAGGTAATTTATATAAATTGGTTTTTGAAACAATTTTAGAGTAAATATTTTGTACATCTAAAGTCTCCGCAAATTATTCATATTTTTTAATTGAAAGAATTTTATAATAGCATAATCTCTTATAAATTTAGTGGACTGTATTTTTTCATGTTTTTTTTATTTATTTTTTATTATAAGTGGTCATAATATATAACAATATTTTCAAAATATTATAGACAAAATATTGAGTTTATATTTGAGGGAAGAAAAGTGCCACACCTAGCTTTAAACCACCGTAAATATACAGGGTGGCCCATTAGTGCGAGGAAGTCCAATATTGTCGTCGTTGTCGAAGATGTGAAAAAAGTTTTATTCATATGTTTCAAGGTTTATAAAGAGGTGTATCCTAAAATATTTTGTTATATACAGGGTGTCACAAAAAAAGTTATGGTAAAGTTAGTTTGATTTTTTTTATTATTTTACATCATTCCATATACATTATTCTATATTGGGTATTTTTTTATGGCGTCACCAAAATCGCAATATTTAAAATGGTATATCTCAACTTTTTTAAATGCGACATTCTGTATATTATTTTTCTGTCAGATGCAGAATTAAAAAGTGAACATTTTTTTATTGATTTAAAGTGTTTCTAAATTTTTACCGCTGTCGCAGAGATTCGCAGTATTATATTACATATGGCTCTTTCAACAGTAAATTTTTTTCAAAGCCACCTAATATGATCTTTGTCTATCTTGTCTTGTCAAAAAATGTTCACCTTTTAATTCTACATCTGAAAGAAGAATAATATACAAGGTGTTGCATTTAAAAAAAATGAGATACAACATTTTTTAAATATTACGATTTTGGTGACGCCATAAAAAATATCCTGTATACGATAAAGAAATTTTTCTACACGAATTTATTCCGATATCCTTCATGTTTAAGAAAACATAGCAAAGTATTAATAAAGTTATATTCACTCTAGTTTTTTACCACTTTTCGTATATAATGTTTATAACCAAAGTTTTAGTAAATAAGAAATAGATTGGCAACACCGCAGTGTACTTTAAATAAAGACAGTGTGCTATAGCATAATTTATGCCGAATCCAGTTATCTACAGAAAATTAAACTTGCTTTAAATAAAAAAAAGTCGTAGAAAATCTCTGAAATAGATAATAATATAAAAATATGTCATTATATATTTTTTCCGCATTTCTTCCCATCAGAAGATTTTCAGATACAGAAGAATTGTTACCTACACGAAATGTGAAAATATTCTGTTTTCAAGCAAGTTTTTACACGATGAACTTTTTTTTTATTTTATTTTATTGTGAACTCATATTTTCCTAAATACATATCTGTGAAACTATGGCGAGTGCCACGGCTATACAGCTACTTCGTCGGCTACGGAGGCGAGAACAAGGTCATATAAAGTGGCAGAAAAAGAACAAAGGATTTGACAAGGAGTAAAACTACTAGTTTCCTTATACTATGATATTATCCTAATCGCTAACAGCCCTGAAGAGCTACAAGAACGAATAAACATGCTTAATGCGGTCAGCAATGAAGTAGGCCTTACTAGCTCGGCATACTGGACAACGTCAACGGAAGCAGCTTCGGTTATATCAGGTCATCTTCTCTCAAGAGGAAGAGGACGACTGTTTCTCAAGGGTGAAGTACTAACTAAATTAAGTAGAGAGATGAAGAAAAGTCGGTGCAGTGCAGCAATGATAGGCAGAATGGGATGTATCGGAAAAAGGAAGAGATGGACAATAAACTCATTCCAAATATTAGTGTGTAAATTAAACGATAGTATGGGGACAGTAAAATCGGAAAAAGAGGGCACTTATTTCATCTTGCTGATAAATGCCGCCATGACCTCGAACCAAATAAGGCTATGGCGTCGTGAGACGTTTTTTTTCTCGAATGCATTGTTACCTTTAGAAAAAATGTATTTCCAATTGAAATAATACTTAATCTGTGGCACAGCTTTTTTGTAGCTTTCATATCTAGTGCTTTGCATTTAGTAGGATATTTAAAGGGACTCCGCATATATTTTCCTAGAAAGAAGGGTCAACTTTGAAGTCATTTCAAAACTGACTCAAAATATACTAGCGCCGCAATGCTCGGTGGTATTTTCCTCTAGTCGTCTTAAGGAGAGAATTAGTCCCACACTGTTCCGAGACTATCTCGATTCGTATGAGTATTTTACATTATTAAAATAAATGAAGTAGGCCTAAGTATGGACTTAAATTCAACAAAGGTCATTTACAGGAAACTGGTAAACGTTCAAGGTATTACACAATCAATAGCACTAGAAGCAGTATTTTTGGAATTTGACGAAAATAATAAAATTGACATGGAGAGATCTCCATGGCCAAGAAATACTTCACAAAAATGCAGCTACATATATCAAGAAAATGAAAAAAGAGCTTTATTAAAATAGCACTTAACAGCACTTAAGGGACATAAAGGCCATTACTACCGCTTTCCCGTTCAAAATATTCTAATAAGGTTGCGATGAGTTTTTTACGGCTATTAAGCTATCTTGTACACTTAGCACTAAAAGAGGTTCTAAAAAGAACAATGTTCGACTGCAAGGTCTGCTAGTAAACACTTTGAAGCTTGAAGGTGTCACAACACTATTTATTTAAACCAAAAACTCGTCGTAATACAAAACTAAAGTGTCAAAACTAATGACAATGTCAGGAAATAAATAAATAAATGTGGCGACTTGACATTTTTTACATCAGAGCCACCACCTGAATTCCCAGCGAGAAATTTAAATTCCAGTTAGTTAACTCGGCGCCGAATATGTCCATGATTGGCAACAATGAATTTAAAAATGCGCCCTCGATTACGTAACTAAAAGTTTAATTGGTATCAAATATACCATACTACGAAGTGTGCCGTAGAACTTTTAATGATTATGTATGACTATAGTATAATAATTGGATGCAAGTAATAAGCTTTGAAAGATAGCAACGCTAAGCGCCACAGCAGTGATTTAAAAATCCGGGATCTTCCGCAGTACGAACTGCTGCTGCTGCTGTCGCACGTTTCAAGGTCGCAGTTGGTAATATCGGGGATTTTTTCCGATCCAATTCTGAAAAACAGCTCCTATCTCTGTCCGTCGCCGCGGCACCGATTTGCGTTTGGGGCCTAACGCTCATCGCCGACATAAATAAGACGTACGTAGACTTGTTTTTAGGTTACGAAGGTCACTCGATGATCGTGATGGTTCTAATATAATCGGAGAGAGGAAAAATAAGCCATTAGTGCTTGTTTACATTTGTTTTTAACTTGTCGGTCTTGGGCGTTGTAAAATTGTAATGCGATTAAAAAAGTACAGTAAGAAAACAAGTATTCTAACTAAAAAGGATATTTTTGCCTGGTTATATGTCTAGAGATTGACCTCGCCAAAATTATCATCGATTGTCATTTGCCAGCCGTCTTTGACGCCGTTTTTTTTTTTCGATCATTGTATGGTTGATTACCTAAGGGTGGTTGTAACGACGTCCCGTAATCCTGCTGTTAAAACATAATAATTGGTTTTTATATATGTACTAGCGTGTACCAGCGAC